TGGTACTCCGCCGTAAATATGTTTATCTATTTAGTACTCTGTTGGAAATAAGCCTGCTGAAGAAGCTTATCACTTCGGTACTCGGTTATGGATAAACATTACCCACAGTAGAAGATTATCCATACAGGGTACAATAAGCTTATCCTTTCGATACTCCGTTATGAATAAACATTATTCCCGGTAGAAGATTATCCATACCGGGTATAATAAGCTTATCCTTTCGATACTCCGTTATTGATAAACATTACCCCTGGTAGAAGATTATCCATATCTGGTACAATAAGCTTATCCTTTCAGTGCTCCGTTATGGATAAAACATTATCCCAGTTGAAGATTATTTATATATGGTACAGTAGCAGCTTACACATCAACTTGCTTTCTTCTATAAATAGAGGAGATTTCAGTTTATTATGTAGATGAATTTGAAGTTGAATAATAAATCTCTCTACTTGTCTTTAGGTTTCTTTACTTTAAAGTCTTTATTTTATAACAGCCTACAATTTATATCTTAAAATTCTGGTATCAAAAATGGACCAGGGCGCTAATTTTCGCGCGAACAAGTAAACTAGTTTAATAATAAAAAATCTATTTTTGTGATCACAAGCCTAAATTAAACATTTCAGGCCAAAACCCCATTTTCCTCTCTCTCTCTCTCTCTCTCTCTCTCTCTCTCTCCCTCCCTCCCTCTCTTTGTTCACTTTCACTCCATCTGCGGCTGACGGAGGCAAAAGCAGATTTGCGCCATCAGCGACGCGAGAGTCGACCCCTCCGCCCATCTCCCTCACCCTCGAAATAGGTGCGTTTGGAAGACTCACACTACTAAAGCAGAAATTTTCAGCTTTTGTTTCGACCAAATTTTCTTATTTGAAGAATGTTTAGAAGATGTTTTTGTCGATTTATTGTTGTTCATTTCATATATTTAGGAGGTTCTAAAATATTTTGTTGTTTTTACTGATGTTTCCTCCAAAAACAAATTCAAAGTCGCTTTTCCCTAAACAACCTAAAAACTGTTACTTAAAGCAAATCAGAATTGTTTTTTTAATTAAATGAATCTACTGAAAACTAAACCAACACCAACTTGTTATCTAATTCAAACGCTGTTAACTATTTAGTATTCAGATTTTAGTCGACTGCTTTCTTTTGTTGTTTCAGATTTTAGTGAATTGGGATTACATGATGGTTGTTTTGTTTTTAACTACAGGAGATTCATGGTTGTTTTGTTTTTTACTACAGGAGATTCATGGTTTTGTTTTGTTTCTTGTATATGATATGTTCTCTCCTAACTTGGATCTTGGAAACTTTAATTAATAGAAAATCTGCTTTAGAAATTTGAAATGGTGACTGCTGCCTGCTGGGATAGTTTTCTACTTTAGATATCGATATTTTGTGCTAGTGAATCAAAAAGTTAAAGGTTATTGATACAGTGAATTGCAAAAGAATAGGATAGCAGGGGCGGCCCAAGCACATGTGTGACCTAAAGCCAAAGTTTAGTGTGAGGCCTAAACTTTTAAAAGACTGTTGAACACTTGAACTAATGAAATCTTGGAGAAATAAGGTGAATAAGAATATCAAAGAGAAAGATAGAAAAAATATAGGGTTTCTAAAGTATGAAGAGATTAGGGAAAATAAAAACTAACTTGGACAAATTAAGGAAGAAAAACAAAATTTGTACACGTTATCTAATAAAAGAGTAAAAAGTTAAATTGTCAAATCAACTTAAATTGAAACGTTGAGAAAATAATTCATCTACCCAGTTTTTAGTAACTCAATGTCACGACCCAGATTTTCCACCCTCGGGAGTCGTGATGATGCCTACTATTGGGAGCTAGGCAGCCAAACATTAATTATTTTATCATTAACAACATAATCCTTTTTAATAATTTATCAGCATTAAAAATAAAAGCAACTGATTTAACTAAATAAGCGGAGGTCTTAAATTAACGAAAAACTGAATGGAAATGCGGAAGAATTCAACATAAGCCTCTACCCAAGACTGGTGTCACAATACTCACGAACATCTAAGAATACTAAATACAATGTCTGAAAGAAATATATTTGTTTGTCTCGAATACAATGAGATAACAGTCTAAAGTAAAAGATAGGGGAGACGCCGGGCCTGCGGACGCCTGCAAGGCTACCTCGGTGTCTCGCTGGACTGAAGGCCTGCTCCCATGCTACTGTTGCTGCTGTCCAAAACCTGGATCTGTGCAAAATAGCACAGAGTATAGTATCAGCACAACCGACCCTATGTGCTGGTAAGTGCCTAGCCTAACCTCGGCGAAGTAGTGACGAGGCTAGGACCGGACTACCAATTAAACCTGTGCAGTTATATAATATACAGCGGAAAGTAAAGCAGGAATAAACAAGTAAAGATGGGAGGGGGAAACATGCTGCGGGGGTATACCAGTATTAACAGTAAATCCAGAGTAACAGTCTAAGGGCATCTTAGAATTTACAGCGAACAAGGAAACTAATATCCCAAAATAAACACACTTGTATCAATAATTGTTGTGGCGCGCAACCCAATTCCAATATATATAACAACACTGTTGCGGCGTGCAACCCGATCCATATCATTTAGCATTGTTGCGGCGTGCAACCTGATCCACAAATATCATTGTTGCGGCGTGCAACCCGATCCCTATCATTTAGCGTTGTTGCGGCGCGCAACCCGATCCACAAATATCATACAATGCACGGCATCACCCTTCGTGCTTTATCACTCTTCCTCACCCAAACAACAATCACAAATAAAGGGCAAGAAAGTAAACAAATAATGATAGAAATCCAGGCAAGGGAATACAATTAAACAATTAAATCCCGGCAAGGGAACAATATCAATAAATTTCCATGTCCCGGCAAGGGAGATAATCAACAAAACAACAAAACGTCCCGGCAAGGAAATAAACCAATAACTCTGTCTCCTTCTTTCACTTTCATCTCATAGTTCACATTATCACTTGAGCCAACGCTCCAAGGATTTAAATATCTCATATACCTTCAAATTTGTATTTCAACTCAAGCCAACGCTCCACGAAGTTCAAAGATCACAATTTCCTTTCACATACTCTTTACAACATATAGAAATCATCAATTAAGTATGGAAGCTATAACAAAACCAGGATATTCCCAATATAAGGACTCACGGTCATGCTAGACACCAATGTATAGATACTCGTCACCATGCCTATACATCGTACTCGACAATTAGCAAGTAGCAAATAAGACTCAACTCCTATTCCCTCAAGCTAAGGTTAGACCAAACACTTACCTCGATATTTTTGAATTCAACTCAAGCCTCAACTATAGCTTTACCCCCAGATTCCACCACCAATCTGCTCGAATCTAGTCACAAGTCACTTAGTTACTTTAATAAACACTAAATGAATCAATTTGAATGCATAAAAATGAATTTTCCAAAGTTTTTCCCAAAAATTCCAAAATCGCCCCCGGGCCCACGTGGTCAAAACCCGAGGTTCGAACCAAAACCTGGTTACCCATTCCCCCACGAACCCAAATATGTGATTTATTTTGAAATCGGACCTCAAATTAAGGTCCAAATCCCCAATTTTAGAAAAACCTAGGTTTTACCCAAAACCCCCAATTTCACCCATGAGAATCATTGATTTTTAAGTTGAAAACATGTTAAATGATGTTAATGATTGAAAGAATTGAGTAAAAATCAACTTACAAATGATTTGAAAGAAGGTTGGTTCTTGAAAAATTGCCCAAAGGAGTTGTGTTTTGAAAATGGGGTGAAAAATGTCTTAAAATCGACTAAGTATGAAAAATGCAGGTTGCGGATATGGGAAATGCGAACTGGGGTTCGCAATTGCAAACCCCGGCCTATTATGGGAATTGCGAAGTTTGGTTCGCATTTGCGAACACTGAACAAAAATGAGGGCATCGCATTTGCGACAATGATGTCGCATTTGCGAAATACCAGGCTCCGCATTTGCGAGACAAATGTCGCATTTGCGACTGGCTCAACATCGCATTTGCGAACCAGATGGTCGCATTTGCGACCCAATGCAGGATTCCCCTTGCGAGACCTGCTTCGCAAATGCGAAAATTGCAGAACTGATGATACCAGATTTTTCTCAAAGGTTAAAAAATGCATTCGTGGCCTATCCAAAACTCACCCGAGCCCTCGGGGCTCTAAACCAAACATACACACAACCTCAAAAACATCCTACGGACTTATTCGTGCGATCAAATCGCTAATATAACATCATATACATCGAATTAAGCCTCGAAATCCATGATTTCTTCCAAGTTTCACAAAACATCAAATTTTCCATTTTAAGTCCGAAACACGTCAAACGACGTCCGTTTTCAACCAAACTTTACAGAGAGTGCTTAAATCATATATAAGACTTGTACCGGGCGCCGAAATCAAAATACGGGCCCGATACCATAGTCTTCTAATCAAATTTCATTTCCAATTTCCTTAATTATTTCCAAAAAACATTTTCACACAAAAATTCATTTCTCGGGCTTGGGACCTCGGAATTCGATTCCGGGCATATGCCCAAGTCCCATATTTTCCTACGGACCCTCCGGGACCGTCAAATCACGGGTCCGGTTCGTTTACCCAAAATGTTGACCGAAGTCAAATTTATTCATTTTAATATCAAAATTTAGCATTTTTCTCACAGCATTCATATTTAAGCCTTCCGGCTACGCGTCCGGACTGCACAAGCAAATCGAGGCAACCCTAAATGAGGTTTTCAAGGCCTCGGAAGTACAGAATGGGTAAGAAAACAGGTGATGACCCTTTGGGTCGTCACACTCAAATGGTTACTTTATTTATATATTTAAAAAGTTTTATTTTCCTTATATGAAAAATTCTACTTTTTTGTATTAAAAAGTATTAAATTTAATTATTTTTTAAATACCTATAAACCTATTATTTCTAAAAAATTGGGTCCCCCAAATTTGGGGGCCTAAGACACAAGCTTTTACTTGTGATAACAATAGATCCAGCCATGTAGGATAAGATCCATGAGGAGCGACATCAGCTATTGTATAGGAAAAGGTTTAGAAAAGGCAGGGTCCAGTGCCGACGAACAAAACAAGAGTCTTGTATTAGTAGTTGCTAAGAACATTTTTTTAGAAGGAGTTTGTTATTAATAACATTAATTAATAATTAATGTCCATATGTTATTGTTCACAGGAACCTCGTTAGTAGCAGTTGTCGTCTGTTCTCACAAGGAAAGCAGTTAAACCTGTTTGACATACTCTGTATACAATCTTGCAATTCAACACTATCCAGTGAGTTTTCTTTACTATTTATGTGCGTCTATGTGTTTCACTGGTTTGTTGAGGAAAATCAGTAATGATGAGATCACCTCTTTCTTCTTTAGAGTATTTATTTATGGATTTTCAGTTGCTCAAAAGTTTTAAATACAGATGAGGATAGCAGTAGAAGGGTGTATGCACGGAGACTTGGATAATGTCTATGCCACCCTATTGCAGTTGCAAGAAGTTGAGAATATAAAGATTGATCTCCTTTTATGTTGCGGTGACTTTCAGGTAGATACATTTGTTCCTCGTTAGATTTTGACACATCAGTTGTTATTTGATTTGTCTGCACGAGTTAATAATGGAAATCGGGCTTTGGCTCATTTTCTTTACATATACCAACCAATATTGACTACACTGGGATTTTGTTGTTCTGAATCTTCTATGCTTATCGTTCATTCATTGGAATATGAGGCTTAGCTCATTCATTGTAACAGATTCTATTCAGTTTAATTGTGCTCTTCATTATTTTGAATCATTCTTTGTTAATACATCTTTTTGGTGTTTTGAATCTTCTATGCTTCATGATGTTGGTAATTGATATGGGATTCCATTATTAATGATGCTTAAATCATTCTTGGCCTTTGAATGGGTTGATTTGGCTGAGCAGTTTCAACAGTTTGATGCTCTAAAACACTTAAAATCTTCAGCTTGACTAGTATGAATTGAGATATTTTATTTGTGCACACAGGCTGTTAGGAATGAGAAGGATCTAGAAAGCTTAAATGTGCCAGTTAAATACCGGAGCATGAACTCTTTCTGGAAGTATTACTCAGGAGAGAAAGTAGCACCATTTCCAACTATATTTATTGGAGGAAATCATGAAGCATCCAATTACCTTTGGGAATTGTAAGTCGGTCTCCATATATGACAGCTGCAGTCAATGTATGCTACTTTAGGGTACGTCAGTTTTAGTATGCTGCTTTCCTCAACTTGCTTAACTAATCCAGTGGTTGTTTGTGCTTCCAGGTACTATGGAGGATGGGCAGCACCTCAGATATACTTCCTTGGATTTGCTGGAGTAATCAAGTTTGGCAACATTCGTATTGGTGGCCTTTCCGGAATTTATAAATCACACGACTACAATCGGGGTATGTCAGTCTAAGCAAATATTACCTGGATTTAGATATTGGCATTTTTAGTGTTGATGTGTTAGTGAAAGCAACCTTGTAGGTTCTGCCAAAATGCAAATTGTATTAGTTGACTAATTGACTGTTCCTAGCTCCTCTAGATTTGCTACTGAATATAAGCTTTAAAAACTTGAAGTTGGATATACACGATTGTTATCTGTGATGTGCCTGATATTGGGCAGGGCACTACGAGAAGCTACCTTATAATCAACGGGATATTCGATCTATTTATCATGTTCGCGAGTATGATGTTCACAAGCTCTTGGAAGTTGAGGAACCAATTGATATCTTTCTTTCACATGACTGGCCTGTTGGCATCACTGACTGTGGGAACTTGAAAGCTCTTCTTCGTCAGAAGCCTTTCTTTGAGCAAGAGGTAATCATTAGCAGGTTCACTTTTTCCATGGCTGATATACCTTTATAAAATCTTATATGCAGATCTGCTTATCCTAACGGAAAATACCTTACTCCTTTTAGTTTTATATGCTATTTTTATTAACTTTATCAGACACATGGACATGCGCTCTCTCTCTCTCTGTGTCTCTGTCTCTCTCTATATCTGTGACACACACACACACACATGCACACACACACACATGCACACACACTTGCACGAACGCACACACAAGGTAAAAAACCAGAGCAAAATATAAATTTTTGCTGTCTTCCATTAATGAATTGTTTGAGTAGTGAGATATTTTCCATTTATGTTCGAGGAATTGGGGGAGAAAGGCGGGGACAGGAAGTTATTCCGGTTGGCTAAAGTGAGGGAGAGGAAGGCTCGGGATCTAGACCAAGTTAGGTGCATCAAGGACGAGGATGGTAGAGTTCTGATGGGGGAGTCTCAAGTCAAGCAGAGGTGGCAGTCGTACTTTCGAGACCTGCTTAACAAGGAGGGGGATCGAGACATAGAGCTAGGGGAGCTGGGGCATTCAGAGTGTCATAGAGACCTTGGGTACTGCAGGCGCATTAGGGTGGAGGAGGTCGTGGGGGCTTTGCGTAGGATGAGTCGGGGTCGAGCGACCAGGCCAGACGAAATCCCGGTGGAGTTCTGGAAATGCGTGGGTAGGACAGGAGTGGAGTGGCTGTCTAGGTTGTTCAATGTGATCTTCAGGACTAAGAGGATGCCGGAGGAGTGGAGGTGGAGTACAGTGGTGCCCTTGTATAAGAACAAAGGGGATATCCAGTGTTGTAACAACTATGTATCAAATTACTTAGTCACACCATGAAAGTCTGGGAGCGGGTGGTTGAGGCGAGGGTGAGGGGGATGACGTCCATATCCGTGAACCAGTTCGGTTTCATGCCGGGCCGCTCCACTACAGAAGCTATCCACCTTGTCAGGAGATTGGTGAAACGGGATAAGAAGAAGGACCTGCACATGGTGTTTATTGACTTGGAGAAGGCGTATGACAAGGTCCCAAGGGAGGTGCTATGGAGGTGCCTGGAGGCGAAGAGCGTGCCGGAAGCCTACATCAGAGCGATCAAGGACATGTACAATGGAGCTAAGACTAGGGTTAGGACGGTGGGTGGCGACTCAGACCATTTCCCGGTGGTTATGGGGCTTCATCAAGGATCCGCGCTTAGCCCTTTCTTATTTGCCTTGGTGATGGATGCACTGACACGCCATATTCAAGGGGATGTGCCATGGTGTATGCTATTTGCTGATGACATAGTCTTGATAGACGAGACGAGGGTCGGTGTTAACGAGAGGTTGGAGGTCTGGAGACAGACTCTCGAGTCTAAGGGTTTCAAACTAAGCAGGTCTAAGACAGAATACCTGGAGTGCAAGTTTAGCGCCGAGTCGAGCGAAGTAGGCAGGGACGTGAAGCTTGGATCTCAGGTCATCTCCAAGAGGGACAGTTTCAAATATCTTGGGTCGGTGATTCAAGGGGACGGAGAGATCGACGAGGATGTCACTCACCGTATAGGGGCGGGGTGGTCGAAATGGAGGCTTGCATCAGGAGTCTTGTGTGACAAGAAAGTGCCACCGAAACTCAAGGGGAAGTTTTATAGAGCTGTGGTTAGACCTGCCATGTTGTATGGGGCGGAGTGCTGGCCGGTTAAGAAATCGCATGTTCAGAGAGTGAAGGTTGCGGAGATGAGGATGCTCAGGTGGATGTGCGGGCGCACCAGGTTAGATAAGATTAAGAATGAAGTTATTCGGGAGAAGGTGGGGGTGGCCCTAGTGGATGAGAAGATGCGGGAAGCGAGGCTCAGGTGGTTCGGGCATGTGCGGAGGAGAAGCCCTGATGTCCCGGTAAGGAGTTGTGAGCGGCTGGCGGTGGTTGGCTCGAGTCGAGGCAGAGGGAGGCCTAAGAAGTATTGGGGAGAGGTGATTAGGCAGGACATGGCAAGAATGCGGATTTCCGAGGATATAGCCCTTGATAGGAAAGTCTGGAGGTCTAGTATCAGGGTTGTAGGATAGGGGCTTCTAGAACTTTTCGTACTTCATTCCCGGGGCTAGGTGGGATTTGGTAGGGCTCTCCATAGATGACTTGCGTATTGTATTGTGCCCCCTTATGGTAGTTACTGGTCGATATTATTGCATGCCATTTAATTTATGGTTTTATGTTTAGATAATTATTTATGCGATTTCTGCTAGAGTCATTAATGCTTTTTTGTTTTTGTTTTTCCTTTTCCTTTTCTTTCCTGAGCCGAGGGTCGATTGGAAACAGCCTCTCTGCCCTTTCGGGTAGGGGTAAGGCCTGTGTACGTATTACCCTCCCAAGACCCCACTTTGTGGGACTATACTGGGTAGTTGTTGTTGTTGTTGTTGTTGTTGTATTCTCTAATTGACAGTTCTCCAAGAGGTTCTCTTGTCTGTGACTCTGTGATGAACACCATATTTGTCGTTACACACACACTCTTCATGTTTGACGGGGAAATTCTCCTTTAATGCCCTTGTTGTATGAAGTTATCCTCAATATGCCCCAGATGTCCAATAATGTACATACATCACGATATACAGTTTTTTTTCTTTTTTATTTGGTTGGTTAATAGACAAGCTAAATCAAAAGATTCATGTAATAAATATTGTTGAATGTTATAAACAACACTAGAATCAATCCCGTTCCCACCAAAAAAGAAAGAAAGAAAACAAAGAAACGATATTTAGAAGCGTCACTAGCTACATGTTTCATTCAAAATACTGCATGCCGTGCCTTTTAATCTTTCAGATTTAATTGTGGAACCAAGTTTTTTAGAAATTAACTTCATGAAATTGTTGGTTCTGTTGGAACAAATCCAATGTACATGTGAAAGATTAATCTGGATGTGGCTTTTCAAGATTGTTATACACCTATAAACGATGCAATTGATAATAAGGAAACATCTGTGCTAGCTCCAGCTGGCTGATAATGTTACCATTTCTATTGATTCTCTTTGATTGTAATTGCTGTAATCAAGTTATTTGAATTATGCTTTTTCGTATTTTTGATAGCTATTTCTTTGTATAAAAGCAACACCATTCTTCAGTAAATAAATGAGAGAACATTTATGACTTTCATATTCTTTATGGTATCGGAGCTGAAAACCAACAAGAACAAACCTAGTGATATCCCATAAGAGGGGCTTGGGGAGAGCTTTGGCATCACATTACCTCCCTTCCATTCAATAACCAACCCGTTTGCGTTTGGAAAGTTGAACCTGACAATCCTAGCTCGACAATCCTGTCAATCTTGTTAACACTGCCTTGTGTTTAGTCAATTAGAACTATGTCATCTGCAAATAACATACGTCATGACACCTCCCCTTGAATGTGACGCGTCAACATCCATCGCCAAGGCAAATAAAAAGAGGCTAAGAATTGATCCCCGAGGAAACCCCATCACAATTGTGAAGTGTTTCGAGTCTCCTCCTACTATTCTTACTTGGGTCTTAGCTGTATAATATATGTCCTTAATCACCCTAGTGTAAGCTACAGGCACACCTCTAGCCTCCAAACATCTTCATAGAACCTTCCTTGGGACTTTGTCGTATACTTTCTCTAGGTCAATGAATACTATATGCAAATCCTTCTTCCTCTCCCTATACTGCTCCACTAATCTCCTTATAAGGTGAATGATTTTCGTAGTCGAATGACCCGACATGAATCCAAACTGGTTCTCGAAAATAGACACACTCTTCCTCACCCTCACTTCTACAATTGAAGATGAGTTAGAGAAAGACCCGACATGAATCCAAGCTTATTCCTGAATCTGAAAGACTACATATCTTAGATATCACCCTTATTCTTCCTTATTCTTGTTCAACAGAATCATCGTACTCCACCTCCATTCTTTGGGCATCTTCTTCGTTCTAAAAATGACATTAAAAAACCCAGAGCCACTCCAAGCCTGCCTTACCCGCATTCTTATAAACTTCCACCGGAGCAGGAAAACCATGCGGCATAATTTTTTTTTCAACTCAGTGGTTCATCAATGCACATTGGAATCTTCCTCTCAAGAGGATCTTATAATACCTAAATGAACATTCAGTCAGATAAATCACCTTCCTCTGTTTCGATAATTTCTGCAACTCAAGGTTCTTCTGACCAGGTTCCTTCTAAAAAAAAAGGTTCTTCTGACCAGGTTCTCTTACCCCAATTAAGTTGACGTCCACCAACTATTTTTCCTGGCATACCTTATGGGAGTCTGCTCTTGTTGGCTACGATTTTAAAAAATACATAGACACACCTTCTCAGCCAGATTCGATTTTTTGGAAGCGTCAAGATAGTCTTCTTCGCACTGCTTTAATTTTCACTCTTTCCGCTGAGATTGTGCCTTTTGTCATGACGGCTAAGAATTTGTTTGCAACTCCAAATTGTGCACATCTAATGAGTTTCCGAGATAGTCTCGCTAGAGTATCAAAGGATAACATGACTTACTGCCTACATTCAACATGTTCGACAAATAGCAGATCAACTTGCAAGCTCTAGATCTCCTGTTTCACTTGATGATCTTGTGCTTCATATTATCAATGGTCTTCCCCTAGAGTTTGATTTCATTGCTACAATTATTCAAGCCAGAGATACTGCAATTGTTTCAAATTGCTCAATGGCTGTAATTGCACATCTGGAGTAATTCTTGGGATGCCATTTGCCGGAGACATTCCGGTGATGACAGATCAAGTTCCAATTTAGCTAATGAAAAAGAAATAGAAAAATCTTGCAGGTGTACAAGATATGTAGTTGTTTGGTGCATTTTGTCATCTGCAAATATTTCAGCTCCCTACTAAAGTCTTGTGTAGTGTGCTTTTCTGCCTCCAGCTTAAGTTAGTGGTTTTTCCATGGCATTCCTTTCTAGAGGGTTCAGCACGTCCCAGACCACTACTATTGTCCTTTTTTTTGGTTCCCCGGATATAGTAAACCCCACCTCCCAAACCTCCTCCCTGTAAGTCAAGAATGGCTGCTACCAAGAACCCACTTTGCTCCCTTGGTGACTCGAACTGCCAACCTCTTGGTTGGTTGGAGCGGAGTGTTTTATCGCTGGAGCAACCTGATTGTCTCACTTGTTGTCTTCCCTTTCACATTTAATTGGACGACTCTTTGGTCTAATATTTTGTTATCCTTGGACTTCCTGTTAGTTCTCTACGCCAAGAACATATCTTGATATCCGTTATGTTGATAGAAATTGTGTTGAAGCCATAAGTAGCACATGTATGTGTGTACATTCCTTTGACTTCTTTGTGCTTGTGTCATATTCGTCTTCTGAAGCCAGAATTATATTTATTTTATTTTTTCGATCCCTTAATGCTCTGATAATTTAAGATATGTAGTCTTTCAGATTCAGGAAGGAACTCTGGGAAGCAGACCTGCTGCTGAATTACTGGCAAAGTTGAGGCCTTCTTACTGGTTTTCTGCACATCTGCACTGCAAATTTGCTGCTTTAGTTCAGCATGAGAAGGATGGTCCTTCCACAAAGTTTCTTGCCCTTGACAAGTGCCTCCCTGGTAGAAAGTTTTTGCAGGTATTTCTCTGCACCCTGTTTACAGACCTTTTCTACAGTTCGCACATAAAGTTAATGTTTTGATTTGGGTGGCTGAGCTTCATAGGTTATTGAAATTGAGTCCGGACCAGGACCTCATGAACTTCAATTTGATGAAGAATGGTTGGCAATCACAAGAAAGTATAATGCTGTCTTGCCCTTGACAACCAGGCGTGCGAACTATAGGTATGTACATTTCTTTGTTCTGTTTTTATTGTATTTCAGGAAACCAGCTTGTACACAACTCACCTCATTTTATATTGTAGTGGTGTACATCTTGACACAGAACAATGCCACCAGTTTGTAAGAAATAAGCTGCAGACAAGGGGATCCAAACCATTTGAATTTGTTCAGACTGCACCGTGCTACAATCCTTCTCACCCTGTTGCTAATGATGTCTTCCACGGTGATGATCTGTATACCAGGACATTATCTATGTGCTTAGTTTCTTTTGTGTCATAAGATGCTTGGTGCAGTCGATTGAGTGTCTGTCATTGTCATCTAGAATAAAAAATGAGTTTATTCGGAACTATTCAACAAGTGAGGTTGAAATCTGTCCAGTAGAAGCTCACTGGTATCTTCATTTTTAAGTCTCCAAATACAGTTAACCTTATTGCTATTTCAAATTGAATGCCATGCTTTCCATTTTTACCAGGCCAAACTAATGTCTATCTTTCCTAAAGCATAATACTCTTCCACTTATGATATACAGTTAAAAGCTGTGAATCCCACTGTAATACTTCCAAACATCTAAATAAACCAAAAAGTAATTTGTGATCTCACTTGTCATTAAGCAATCTGTACTCCCTATGCATGCTAAATCATTGGTTTTCTCTTAAAACGGTAAACTTGAACAACGATATTTGAAATGAAGTATTCTTTCAGATGGTGGTCAGACGAGAACATTAAAAAGGTGTTGCTCTACTTGTTAGTCTATCACTATTTACAACATCGAGTTGTTTTAGTCTTAAGAAGGCGGCGTATTTGAAGTTGTTAGAGAGCAAAGACGAGGAGAAGAGGACAACATGGAGTGGTACAAGACGGTTAAGAGGGAAGCGATGTTAGCGGTCACGTCGGTGAAGACAACAGCGTTTGGATGCTTGTATGAAGAACTTGAGGGCAAAGGCGAGGACAAGAAGCTGTATAAGCTAGCCAAGATGAGAGAGAGGAAGGTCCACAACCTAGACCAAGTGAAGTGCATCAAAGACGAGGAAGGAAAAGTATTGGTAGAACGAGGATGAGGATTGGAACATTATGCTAGGTGATCTGGAGCACTCTAAGAGTCTCCTAGATTTTGGGTATTTTAGGCGGATAAAGGCCGAGGAGGCGGAGTGGGCTATGCGTACGATGAACAAGGGAAGAGCGACCGAGTCCAACAAGATTCCGGTGGAGTTTTGGAAGAGTGCGGGTGGCAGGTTTGGAGTGGCTCAAAGGCCTATTTAATGTTATTTTTAGGACATCCAAAATGCCTGAGAATGGAGTACAATGATCCTGCTGTATACGAACAAGGGAGATATCCAAAATTGCAACAATTACATGAGTATCAAGCTGTTAAGTCACACTATGAAAGTTTGGGAGAGGGTGGTGGAGATGAAGGTAAGGAGGAGAGTGTATATATCCGAGAACTAGTTCGGATTAATGCGGGGCGATCAACCACAAAGCCATTTATCTTATAAGGAGGTTGGTGGAATATTATAGGGAGAGGAAGAGGGACTTCCATATGGTGTTCATTGAACCGAAGACAACATTCGATAAAGTTCCAAGAGAAGTTTTATGGAGGTGTTTGGAGGCGAGATGTGTCCCTGTAGCGTACATTAGAGTGATTAAGGATATCTATAATGGAGCTAAGACCCGGTTAGGGCAATAGGATGAGACTCGGGATACTTCCCGGTCCTGATGGGGTTACACCAAGGATCAACACTTAGCTCGGTCCTATTTATCGTGGTGATGGATGTATTTACGCGGCACATTAAAGAGAGGTGCCATGGTGCATGTTATTTGCAGATGATATAGTGCTGATCGGCGAGACGCGAGGTGGAGTTAACGTCAGGCTGGAGGTTTGAAGATAACCCTGGAATCTAAAGGGTTCAAGTTGAGCAAGGCTAAGACAAAGTACATGGAGTGCAAGTTCAATAGCTTAACTCATGAGGATGTAGTGAAAGTGAGGCTTGATACTTAAGTCATCCCCAAGCGAGGTAGTTTCAAGTATTTTGGGTCAGTAATCCAAGGTAATGGGAGATCGATGAGGATGTCAGACACTGTATTGGAGCAGGATGGATGAAATGGAGGCTTGCCTCCGGTGTCTTGTGTGATAAGTAGGTGTCACCAAAACTTAAAAGTAAGTTATACAGAGTGGTGATTAGCCCGATTATGTTATATTGAGTGTTGGTCAGTTAAGAACTTCCATGTCCAGAAGTTGAAAGTAGCAGAACTGAGGATGTTGAGGTGAGACATGATCAGGAATGATGACATTCGGGACAAGGTGAGCCCTTGTGGAGGATAAGTTGCGGGAAATGAGGCTGAGATGGTACGAGTATGTGATGATGAGATGCCTAGATGGCCCACTAAGGAGGTGTGAGAGGTTACACATGATGGGTCTAAGGAGGGGTAGAGGAAGACCTAAGAAGTATTGGGGAGAAGTTATTAGGCATGATATGACTCATCTTCAGCTTACTGAGGACATGATCCTTAATAGAGGTTGTGGAGGTCGAAGATTAGGGTAGAAAGTTAGTAGGTAGTATAGCGGATCATCCTGTAGGTAGTCTAGCGGATTATCCTTGCATACCGGTAGCTTTAATATTACTCGAGTTGTGATTTATCCTTGGATTTATATTATTACTTGATATTGCTTTTATTTTGGTTTGTTAATATCCTGCTATGGCTTATGTTTCCTTTTCATGACTTGTTCATTTTCATTATTGCATTTCTTTATTGATACTATGCTTACCTGAGTCGAAAGTCTTTCAGAAACAACCTCTTTACCTGCATAAGGTAGGGGTAAGGTCTACGTACACACTACCTTTCCCAGACACCACTTGTGGGAATATACTGGGTGTAATGTTGAGTTGTTTTATTCTTAAAGCCACTTCACCCCCTTTTATATCTACGATCAATATCTATCTTGACTCCTATTTATCTGACTTCTTTTAACCATAAAATGATTTAGTCTGTGATTATCTCTGGTAAATACAAAGAAGTGTTTCTTTATGTACACCTGTTGCAGCTTTCGTAATACCAGTGTTTTAGTTGTGTTATATATGTCCAAGCTTTGCTGCAAATGGTGGTGTTAACTTCCTGTGACTCATTTCCGTTTCGCAACTGTCCCAGAGAGAAACCAATGGATTTTCCCATTTTTTAATGTTTCTTTGGCATGGACAGTAGGAGTCTCGAACTATCAGATACTAGATTAACTTATGCAGTTTTAGTTCTTTTTCTCTACCTAGTAGTACGTTGTAAGATAGTTTATAGCAGTGGATGTTGATTTTCTCTCCTTTCTGTTTCCTTCACAGGTTTCTATAAAAACCCTCAGACAGAAGCTCTATTACAGTTTCTAGAACTCGAGTATCTTCTTAATAAAATGCCAGAATCAAGGGAGCCTGCTGCAGGTACAGCCTCATTTGTTTCAGAATGTAAATGTTCTTCCTCTGTTTGACCGGAAAAATTGTTGTCTTGTGATTTTTGATCCATTATCTGTATTCACCTGATAATGGTTGAAGTTTTACTATTTGTTTATTATGACATGGGAAGAGAAGAAACCACAAGTTCTAACACTTGAATTAATGGTTATTTATGTTTTCCTCCATGGAAAACGATTCTCTGACATAAAAAATAGAGCCTTTACACTTTTCCTCCTGTAAAACAATTCTCTGGCGTAGAATATAGAGCCATCTTAGAGTAGAATTGAATATATAATGTGTTTGACCGTGGCTAAGGATTATGAACTGATGCTAAAGTTTAAGCTCTGGTTAGTTTAGGTACATTGGGTGTACATTAAGAATTGACAAGCAAAAAACTTATACGTAGTCCTTTGAAGAGTGATAGCTTTTACCTGCGTTCCTTCTTAGAACTTCTACAAATATTTAGGTTAGTCATGGTTTTTTTTTTCTTGGGAATTGCCTTTCTTGGTTGATTTAAAATTTGCATTATCTGCAGCTGTAGAGACCTTCAATTTCGTGTTCTGCTGAGTGAAAACTGTGGATATTACCTTATATGCACTCACATTTTCTTTTCTGTAGTGTCATTTTATACTCTCAACACGGGTACTCTGTGCAATATAACCAAGTATAGCTGACGTGTTTTTAGCATAGAGATATCTTGTATGCTAGAGTCATAACATTTGACTCTCCTATTTCTAGTTTGATGTTTTTATTCTAGAAGAGCTGCATGCTTTTTCTAAATATAAGTAAACTTTAATATTTTGGGTTTGATCTTTACCTAGTTTTGCTGCATTTTCAGGTTCCTGTAATTACGAGAGTGAAGATATACCCATAGATGACGTGGACGTGGACGTGGACGTGGACGTGGACGATATAAAACAAGTGGACTCGGAAGATGCTTAAGAAGGATTAATCTAAAGCTCAGATCACCACCTAATGTAAAGCTTAAAGGTGGATTGCCGCTATAAAGGGTAAATGACAACTGCAGTTTTAATGGGCAGCTTCACTTCACGAAATTGTTTTGACATTTGAAACGGTGCCCCTTCTCGTTATTCTTGGCCATTTAGACGGTAGTACCTTCTACTTTTGCTCTCACCTCACTAAGCAAAACCTTCAGAGAAAAAGGTTAGGTGGTGATTAAGCCTTCTCGGAGGAGTTCATGATTAATTTTATCACCTCCCAAACTATCCTTTAGATGGGATTGGCACCCATTTAACACCACCCTCCAATCAAGATAATATCGATTGCTCGCCCGACATCAGCCTCTTCACCCACCGGGGTGGAACGACTCTTAACGAGGTTGATGGACAGACGAACTAATTTTATACGCTTAGCCATTTATATATGCACTGAAAGGTAACACGTACAAGTTCAAACTCATTAATAATTATTTAATAGGAAATATTTATCCAATCAAATCCTTAAATGATCGATAGAAAAATTCAATGAGCACTCGAACAATATATTTTTAGTCCAAATTTCACACTAAGATTATGGAGCATTTAATTAACTGACGAGCATGTGAATCCTAAAATAAAAAAACTAGCAAAGATATAGGGTCTGTTTGGAAAGTCACCGGGTAATTGGAATTGGTGTAATTACTAGGATAGTAATTACACATCCTAGTAATTACATAGTTGTGTAATTACAACGACCTGTTTGTTTGTTAGTGTAATTACAAGTTTACTGTTTGGTTGCACAAGTGTAATTACACAGTTAAATTAAATTTTAAATGAAGTAATTATCAAAATTTAAAAGTTAATATAATAAATATATGCATGTAAATTTTTATAAGTGTAAATGATATTATATTTGGTATTTAAGATATATACGTTTTGTAAGAACATCATGGAAATCATGTTTGATAAAATAAATTAATATTTATAAATATAATGTCATAACATTATTCATGTTTGACAAAACTAATCTATCAATTCTAACTAAAAACTGAACAACAAGCAATGTGAGCGAATACTACTAAAACAAGTAAACTGAAACCATGAATATAACACAATTTTAAAATTCAAAAAAAAAAAAGTTTAACATGTGTCAAATTCAACATAATAATAATAGTAAGTTCTACTACAACTTAAGATTAGGAAACATAACAAGTTTATAACCACATTCAACAATGAAATTTCACGTTAAATGCATCACTTATTATATGCCAAGTTTGTTAATGACTTAATATTTCTAATATTACGAGGTGTAGTTTCAAAAAATAGAGTAATAAAATAAATAAAAAATAAAATATAAGCAATTATACGGAACCACAAGAAGTAAAGGTAGAGAAATAAAAGAAATATACAAAGAAAAATATATTTTAAAATTTCTAAAAACAATAAAAAGTAAAACTAAAATTAAAAAAGTAAAATAATAGAAATAAAAAGCTATAAAGAAAACAAAATAAAATAAAAACAAAAAGGCAAGAAACTAAAAAGCAATCTTGTAATTACACGGTGTAATTACCACCAATTCTCACCTCCCCGTTGAGAATTGCAGAGTGTAATTACACCTTCCAATTACACCCATTTCCATGCTGATCAAGTAATTACTTGACCAAACAAACATGCCAAACTATGTAATTACACCCAATTACACTCAAATCCAATTCCTAGGTGGTTTTCCAAACAGGCTCTTAATAAAGTTGGAATGACCTCCACGATCAATGCAGTGGCTTACCTCAGCAATAGAATCAGCTTGAACAAGCTCGTCAGCTACTAGTCTCGTCCCTAGCAATTGTGTTTGCATAGACATGCAGCTAAAGAGTGAAGTATATGTAAATATAACCTAGTAAGATCCTCGACCTATTTCTTTGAATACCCCTGACACAAGTGTTAAAAAAATACACTAACACATAACAAACATGATAGTTAATAAGAATTACTCAACAAGAGTACACAAATCTCAACACAGTATACTAAGGACTTGTCATAAATAATAGTGAAGGAAATCAACCAACATTGAGTCCACGACGGCATCATAATGCCAAAAATATGTGATGGAGCATACACAATACCCCAGTGAAGCATACACAATGCTCCAATTATATCAAGAAGCATACACATTGCGCAGTGATATATAAAAGCATACACAATTATGGGTACATATTTTGTATGTCTGCCTCGGCTCCCATGTAGCTTCCTATATCGGATGGTTGCACCATATTACTTTAACTGAAGCAACCTTCTTCAACCTCAATTGTTGCATTTGCTTATCAAAAATAGCTATCAGACCTTCTTCATATGTTGTGTTTTTATCAAGCTCCACAACTTCGAGCTGAATCTTATGGCTATTGTCACGAAAATATCGTCTAAGCATAGACACATGAACACATTATGAACAACGTACAACCTCGGAGGTAAAGTAAGTCTATACGCCACCGACCCGATCTGTCACGATCCAAACTGGGGGGCCATGACTGGCACTCGGGCCATACCTGCCGAGCACCAACGCACATTTTATCTAACCTTTCTTATTATCTATAAGGGCCGGCGAGATCAATATAAATGGTAGACATGAATCCTAAACAATCAACAATGACAGATAATGGCATCGACATATATAATATGGGCCGACAAGGCTGTCATGAAGCTAATATAAGGTTCAAGCTGACAAGCTGCCATGAGAGACTATACAACAAAAATCAGTCGACAAGGCAATCCAAACTATACATGAGTCGACACCTGTCTATGAGTCTCTAAAGGAACATGGGTGCTGCAACATTACTGGAACGGGGCCCCGACAAACCCATAATGTCTGTAACAAAAATGCATACCAAGACCACGACAAGTCCGTAGAGGGATCTCGCCAATAACCACTGAACTGGGCAGCCTACTGTGGTGGGGGAGCTGCGTCTATATGTCAATCAGGACCTGCAGCACGGCATGCAGCATCCACAAATAAAAAGGTCGCCAGTACGAATAAAGTACTGAGTATGTAAGGCAGGAAAGCATAAGTGAGAACAATAATATAAACAGGGATAGAGAATTTACAACCTGTAACATCTGGGTACCTCTGAGGGCTACTGACATGAAATGCATCATATCGTACCCGACCGTAATAGGCTCGGTAAAAACGTAGCCGGCCATCATAAGGCTCGGTAGAATTGTACCCGGTCACGTGGAGCTCGGTAAAACCCAACTGATCAGTGGTTGCACAATAGGTGCCGTACCCGGCCGACTATAGCGCGGCTCGGTAGAATAAAATAGATACATATATATAATACATGCTGGACTCATTGGAATCACATTATGAACCTTTCGGAGTGACGTAAGGTCGGTATCCTCCGTACACGTTATTAGGACTAACTTTTCATCATGAATCTTATAAGAATCAGGAAGTACCAACAACATTGATAACATAAGAACAAGAGAAGCAACCTCAAAATCAATTGTTCCATAAGAAAGAAAACAATGTAAGTACTACTAGCTTCTAAGAGTAGAGTATCTTTGGAAGCTCGTTCATTACATTATGTACAATCGGAATCGTGCAAAAGAAGAAAAGAGATAGCCTCAAATACCTTGTATATACTGCCCAACCTCAAGCTATGCAAATGTCACAACTCCTTAGTCTAGAGAAATGATACTATCGTTATTGTTTAAGCGTCGTAACTATTATATATCGACAGCAACCTATTTTACGATGAAACGGACAACACCTCCCAATTTATATGACTTCTATATACGGCAAAATCGGAGGGTCCAATTTCCCGTCATTGAGGCATTTCGGAGGGTCACCTCGAAGCCTCGAGGATGTAAAGATGCGCTCGAGTCTCCTTCCTCGGAGCTCGTCGACACCCGGCCTGAAGGGAATATCGACCGAGGATAGAGTAAAAAATGGGGAGTTCCTAAGACACACGGCTAAGTCTGACAAAGACTAGCCGGCCTACTCCGAACCCGAATCAGGGTGTCACATCTAGCTGTCCCGTCTCAATGTCTTTACAATTAATGTATGTCGTACCATATAAGGCTTCCCCTTCTATATATAGGGGATTCTTACCATTTTGTAGACAACTGATGTTTCTCCAACTATTCTACACGAAATATATAAGAACTCTCTCTCTCTTTTCTCTCTAACATACTCTCTCGATATTGTTGCTCTTATTTACTATCTTCATACTTGTTCTTCATTTATCGTTTATCATTTGCCATAAAGAGCCTCCTTTAATTATATCACGACTGTTGGCCCTTCCCCGAACTGCCCCTAATAGCTCGAGCCCGAGCCCGGGAATCGATCTCGAGGCCCCAAACCGACTAGCTCGAGGCCCTGAACAGCTAACTCATCGGTTCGATTATAGCTCTATTTTAGCTTGCATTTCGCCCTTAAACACATAGCATCAACTGCTTAACAACTAGCATAAAAATAGATCACGTATTCTTAGAGTCACATCAACAAATTTAATTGTTATTACCATTTTCACGGTAAACAGTTTGGCGCCCACAGTGGGGCTAAAAATAATAGTGATTATTTTCTTGCTGGTTTCGTTACACAAGGCAAATTATCTTTCATACTTTTTCTTGTCCAAGATCTTCGATTTCAGGTCAATATGTGTGGCTCAGTAAACAGAGTTGAGAACGACGACCTCGAAAATCACGGAGAAAACGGTGTGGCTGTTCCAATTGTTGGTCCGCCACCATGGAACCCCGAGAATGCACCTGGACCGATTCCAGCGGACGCGGGCTCGCGCGACACACAGCAGATCGACGAAACCTCACGCACCGACAGGAGCATACAACAAGGCGACCAACAGGAAGCCTGAAAAACCCCAGCTCGGGAAGAACGGGAAGTTAGCCTTCATGTTATTTTTGAAATGTTGCAGGCACAACAGCTGGCTATCGCTCAGCTGCAAAGCCACCCAAAAACTCCCAGCACCGTAGCACCGGGAACAACTCCCCCGGCCGAACAGGTACTAGAGAGATCGAGCAATAATGGTTCGATAGCCCACCCTGCTATCGTAAAAATGCTCGAGGATCTCACCAGAAGGATCGAGTCGGGCGAGAAAATGATAGCAGCCAACGACAAGAAGGTCGAAACTTACAACTCTAGGGTCGACCAAATCCCGGGCGCGCCCCCGGTCTTGAAAGGCGTAGACTCGAGGAAGTTCGTGCAGCGGCCGTTCCCGGAGGAAGCAGCTCCGAAACCCATTCCAAAGAAGTTCAGAATGCCGGAACTCCCAAAATACAACGGGACCT